TTTTAAAATATAACACCTGTTAATAACTTGGAAAAATATAAAATTTTTCTTTTCAAAATATTTGTGTTCCCACGTGAGCATTATGAGTGCCTTTAAGTAATATACCTTACGCCTAAAGCCGTGACTTGGCGGCCGCACTCACGTAATAATTATAATTGTTTAATCCTGGCCTGTGGGTGAAAATAAAAATAATATTCAGTGGCTTAGTATTACACGTTTTCTGATGCCTGAAGCAATACTCGTACGCAAATTAACTTCTGGTCTGCTCACAAATTTTGGTTTTTTTTACACACACCCACATCCCCGCCCGCGCTTATGGTAGTAATATCTAAGATGTGCACTTATTAAGCAACGAGTAAGCAGCAAATTTTAAACGTAGAAATGTGCAGAAAATTTTAACAAGCAGCCAATTGCTTTGACCGGCATCTGCCTATATAAGTACTTATGTACATAAAGCAAAAATAGATTTATGGTTTTTCGAAAAATTTTGTTGGCTTTTACAAAGGTAGTGAAATCCGATTGTTCTGCAGCTCAGCGAAATGATTTGTTTTGATTACATTTCTTTTGTAATAAAAATTATTTATAATAGCAATGCGACGAAAATTCATATATAAATTTGTGTACATACATGATCCATACTCAAGATAATTGAAAAGGTTTCCAGCTTCTATTAATAGATACATTTTCAAGAATCACAATTGCAGTGATTTGGATTTGTATCTATGGATTTCTACATTTTTGCGCGCCTCCTGTAGTATTATGATTCTGACAAAGTACCAACACCTCATAATAAAATTTAGTAGCAAACTGCCACTATCTAACTTTTCATGGCACAATCATTGCCTACTGGCACGCAATTCCCAAAATCAAAATTTTTTACTGATTTTATCTTTGTCGCGTAGGAATTTTATATGCACTCTAAGCTCAGCAGATGTTTTTAGTTAGTAGAAAAGTGTGTGCTTGTTACAATTTGATTAAAACACAACATTTTTTAATAGTTAAAAGTTTGCGTTAATTGGTCATTTACATATTCATAACTTCATGTAGATATGTACCTACATATATGTACGCCTACATTCATAAAAAAAAGCAAACAAAAAGCTGCCAAACTTTTTATTCATATAAAGCTCCGCATAATAACTTGTGGGTGGGCAATGCAACAAAATTATTATTTCCGTTTTTTTTTTTTTTTCAAAGTGCGAAAATTCTCATCATTAGTGCCGGAATTGGAAGTTGTCAAATAAAATGAAATGCATTTTTTATGCTTTGGTGTAAGCAAAACAGCTCTCCTAAAAAGCGATTGGCCGGCAATTTAAGGACATGAAAACATGGACTTTTTTTAAGTAAGGGACAATTTAAGCAAATAATTTTTTGTATTTTCTCCTTTCATTTTTATCCATGGTTATGGTATGTTTCCGTATCCTGCGTTCAAGTAAGTCCTAGAAATATTCACGGGGTTTTAACAAGATAGAACGGGTTAAAACATAATTCGATACTACCCTCTGTATCGATGAGTAAGTTCTGCCTAATATTTCTCCGATTTCTTTTAAAGATTTATCCTCAGCATTTAGCTTTAATTCTAGGCTTAGGTAATGCTTCTACTACGTACATTCACGGGATAAGGGTGGGCTGTGTTCAAATTACAGTAAGAGGAGTAGCCGCTCCTTTAGCAAAGGCAAAACTCCAAGTGTAAATATTTTTAATCCCTATACTAAAAAAGTCGCATGGTTTGCCCCAGGAAAGTGGTCTATAAGCTCTATAAAAGGGATGACTTGTTTGTACTTGTGCTTTTTAGTTTTCAGCGCATTTTTATTTGTGGTTATGCAACATTTTAAAAATATACATAATATATTGTATTTTTGTTTAAAAAAGGATCTAGGCTATAAAATAAAATAAAATATAATAAAAATGAAATAAACCCATCAAAGCTTTTCCTATAACGGTCACAAATAAATTTTGTTTGAGCGAAAGAAAAGTCAGGGCATCAAATGCTATTAATATAAGATTTAAAGATTTTATTAAATTCATATATACTTATTGAACAATTTTTTATTTAAGATAGTCATAAGCTCTAGGGATTAATACTATCTTCTTCATACAGTAAACTCTTCAATCCAACGTCTAATGTGAACATGATAACATTTTGCCGCATAAATTTAGTTTTAGTTTACTTAGCATATATTAAAATATTTACATATGTAATACTTTTTGATAATTCATGCCTTAAATCTTAAAAAAAACAGTACTAAATGCACGTTAATCGATTACTAAGAATTAGTATTTCCATATAAAAAATGGCGTAATTACTCCATAGTTAAGGACGATTAAGGGCCGACTTCGAAAGTTCGCGACTGTCCGGTGCGATTGCAGCTTTTCAACGTTAAACTTTCTTCGCTCTGCATCACGCTCAAGCTATAATGCACGCTTTTGGTATCTTCGCATGTGAAGCCAATGTATGCCGGCTTCAGACGCTTACAGAATTGCTCTTTAGTCCCTTTATTGCAACTAAGATAGCCAATAATTTAATACTACTTACCTGAATAGTTTTTAATATTCGCTTAATTTTTTTGTCAACTGACATTCTACTACATAAATAGGTTACAGTCGATAAAATCGCACACGAATGGGTTTTTATAATTAACAACACCACCCAAACCATTCTTACTGAAGAGTGGCACATGTAACTAATCCATGTCCAATCCTTACTAATTATTTATTAAGCAGTCAAAATTTTAATCGCAATCTTAATCTTAACCTTAGTCTTAGTCTTAATCTTAATCTTAATCTTAATCTTAATGTTAGTCTTAATCTTAATATTAATCTTGACCTAAATATTAATATTAATCTTAATCTTCATCTGAATCCTAATCTTACTATTATCCGCAATCTTAATCCTAGTCTTAATCTTAATACTTATTTTAATCTTACCTTAAGCTTAGTATTTTAATCTTAATCTTAATCTCAATATTATTCTTAATCTTAATCTTAAGCTTAACCCTAATCATAATGTTAATCTTAACCTTACTCTTAATATTAATTTAATGTTAGTTATAATTTTTTACTTTATTCTAATCTTTGCCTTAATCTTAATCTCAATGTTAATTTTAATCCCCATCTTAATCTTATTCTAAGTCTTAATCTTAACTTAAATCTCAATCTTAGTCTTAAACTTAAACTCAATCTTAATCTCAATCTTTAAGTTAATCTTAATCTTAAATTTAATCTTAATCTTACTCTTAACCTTAACACTAACTTTATTTTATTCTTAACTTTAATTTTAGTCTTAATATTAATACTAATCTCAATCTTAATCTTGATCCTAATCTTAATGTTTGCATTTACTCCCAAGCGAGCGGGAAAGAAGTTGCACTTCAAAAAGTAATTTTCTCAGAAAATTGAGGCGATTAAATTTTTTAATATTTTTTTTCATGCCTATTTAAGTACCTAACACCTACCCAAATTTCTGATAAGTTTTTAGAATGAAACCTTAGCAGGCGTTGGTAATGAGGTCACTGTAAATGTTAGGAATTGTGTGTTCAAGAAACTGGTCTAATAATGCGTCAAAGTTCGAGATCGGTTAACCTTTAGGATGGTTTTTAATGAAGTCTTTGCTATCGTTGATATTTGAGCTCAATCTTTCTCAAATAATAAATCCCGCTATAGACCGCTAATTATTACTAATCAATTTGATATGTCAATGATTTTTCATTAGAGATAACTAACGCTTTCTAGTCATTCTTCCAATACTTGCAAACCTTACAACGGACCTCCTGTCGTTTCTGTGTACAATTTGTACACGCATAAGAATGCTACACTTATTTATTACGCCTATTTAGAGACGCATTTTTTTTTTTAATTTTTTAATAAAAATCCAATCATAAAAGAATTTATCCACTTTTCTTTAGGGTACATCTGCCCTCAAAATGATGCAAAATATATGTATGTAAATCCGTAAGTGATTCATATCTTTTAATTTTAACAAAACAATTTCCCATAATTCAACTACATAAGTATTTGAGTTGCGACATGACATTGCTATAATTTGCTAAGTTGATTTAAGTAACCCTTTTTATGTGCGTATATACTATATATACATATGGCACTCTTACTTTTCACAGCTGGAAAGCATTACCACACATAAAGCCCCTTTAAATAATAGATTTAATATCACAACTTTGTCAAGCAGAAGCGCCAAAAGTTTCATTCAAAAGTACATTTTTATAGTTGTAAATAGTAGTAGGTGCTTTGTTTACTACGCTATTAAATACGAGCACTATATATACGAATAAGTGCGGGTGAATTAAGTGCAAATTTGTTTTTTTTTTTTTTATTTCGGTGTGCAAAAGTTTAACTACCCTCCAACATTTTAAGTAGTTAGTATGAATGTGAGACAAATTTTTATGAACGCTGCATACATCTACATATGTACAATAAGTATGTTTGTTTGTAAGTATATACTTATATTTAGGTATATACATTTGTGTTGTTTTAAGTCCAGCAGTAAGCAATGCCAATTGAAATGACATTGAAAGTTTCACATTTTTTCAGGGGTCAGTAAAGCATAAAAAATAATACCTTTGCATGGATGTATGTATACGAAATTTATTTGAAAGCGCATGCTGTTTAGTAAACAAAGTTTTAAGGGAATCTGCTATATGATATTTTTGAATAAGCATAGGCAAATATTTTTATATGTTTCTCATGATTAACTCAGTGGATTCAAATTAATCTAAATATTTTTCACACATACACACTTATACATATAAATGTATGCATATAAATGTACAACAGTATGAGCTAATAAAATTTATTGCACTCAAATTAGGCGGTGTAATTTACCAGGCAGGCGGGTGCATAGAGTGCAGTCAGAGCACCGATCGCTTAAATTGGCGATTCCGAGTGAAGAGTGATCAAATACGAGTGAATTTTTCAAATTTTCTATTTCATCAACGCTGGTGCTTTTGGTGTGCTACATATGTGCTGATATTATGAAAGGATACATACAGCAGGAGTTTTTCAGGACTCGAAGGAAATTGAAAGCGCAATTTAGCTACTGGCAACAATTCATGCGCCAACGAATATCTAATAATAAAACCAACAACCAATTTTCACAATTTTTATTCTACTACAATACTTCACTGATATTGTTTAAATAATTTATTTTGGTCTGCTTAAAAAATTTACACTTAACTTAGTTTTATTTAAAGCATTTACAAAAATTTCTTAAATTAAAATTGTTTAAAAATACATACATATATTTATAACATAAATAATTTTATCTATATTTGACTATGCGAAATTTTGTCTATATTTTATGTAAAAAAATTCAAAAGCGTACATTTGACCGTAGTACAATCCGGCAGTGATGTAAATAAGTAGCAAGAAAGTTTGTAGTCATAAATGAATTCACATGTTGGAAAACTGCAAAGAAAAAAAATAAATGGGTGTGTATAATAAAATTTTAAAAGAATTGGTAGTCTTCATTGCTTTTTGGTATTTTGGTATACGCGTAAGTACATGCATATGCAAGTATGTACATACATATGTACATGCATGTTGGATTTTTAACAGTTGGAGCGAGATGAGAGATTTTCCATTGATTTAGCTCGGTCTTCTTTGAAATGTTTCTCTTTGAAAATTTATACAACGCGGTCAAATATCAGAAAACGCACGCAAGTGCTGTTTTATTATTTCACCTGCTTATTGTACCCTGCTCATATGTATTTGCACTGAGAAAAGAGTTTAGTTATAAATACATTCTTATTCGGTCAAGTGAGGAGAAAAATATTTTCAGGTGACGTTTTTCTGCGCGCACATGCACATACAGACCCGCAGGGACAAACAAATAATTGTACGGGACTTTGAACAGTTTTGGTTACTTTTCTTTTGTTTATTTGATAATAATTATTTTTTTTTATAAAAGCCTAGTTTATTATATGTATAACAAACGCTACGTAGAGCAGCATTTCAAAGTTTGTACAAAAATCAAATTTTAAAATTTTCATCAAAATTTTTGATTTTAAATCCATTTTTTGTCGAGTAAAGCGCGTGTTTGAATTGGCTAAGAACTAGCTTTGGTTTTTATTTCTATTTTCCTTTTAGCTAATGGCTCTATGCATTTACTTCCATACAAAGTATGCTCGTATGTAAGTTGTTTATGTGTAAGAAGATTAAAAGCAATGTTTTTCGGATAATTTTTCTCCTCCCCAAAATGGATCTCCTTAGTTGGCGAAAAAATTTTGATTGTAAATAGTTATTTTGGTTTTCTCAGTGATGCTGGTTTTCCGGATAGAAAAGTCTCTTGACTCGAATCGTGACAGTCGTGAACGAACGCAAACAATGTTACCATATTCACAGTTTTAACTGTAAATTATAGTGTTTTTGACAAGCTTACAGTTGTTTAAATTACCTCCTAGTTAATACAGACACTATTTTTTTACAAATTTCTGATTTGAACGAATAAATTAAAATCTGCCTTTTGGTTTTTTTGTAAGCCAATTTTTAAGATAAAAGGGGACGAGGAAGGATCAGCGTTTCCTCATTTGTCCTTTGCAATCCAGTCGCCACAGAAAATGTAAAAAGAATTTTTTCCAAAACAATTTGAATAAAACAAGAAACAAACTATTGGAAAAAACTTTTTCTTTTCTTCTGGTTTTGATGAAAGTCGGTAGCCGGACTCGGTCCAGGCCCTGTGTAATGGTAGTGCACACTTCTAACCGCTACACCTCTTTTGCGTTCTTGAGATTTTCGAGGATCACTTGACATAGCTTTACTCTAATTTAAAAAATAATAGTGGTATTCACCAAATTGAGCAATCGGCCTGGCACTCTGGCAAAAGAGCAGATGAGCTCAAGCAACGACAGTTGACAACACACACATAAACACACACACACTTGTATATACTGGGGCGTATTCTTGTTTTCGGAATCTTGAAATTTTCCTATCATTTTCTATAAAAAAAAATTTTTAATTTTCGATTCCTTCGAAAAACAGAATACGCCCCTATGTACACATGAAAAATATACATACATAAATATACACATATGTATGTATCTGACTTTTCCATTAAACTTTTATTTTACTTACTTTATTGTAAAAAACCAAGTACATTTGAAATTGCACAGTATACCGTAAGGCTTCTTCATCTGTTCTTTTTTATTAACCATTGTGCTTTGTAAATTGTAGCCATCATAACGACGCCAGCAATGATTGAGGTCACCTAGAAGTAAAAATATTGCAAATATAAATATAATAAGGAAAGTAGTATTTATTGTGCCGCACTTATACTATTTCGAAACTTAGTCACAGTTCCTGGCCACTGATTTTCGAAACAAAATCCTTTGTAGTTAACAGAATCTGCCCAGATTGCCAACATGTTAATTTTTAATATTAAATGGTGCAAGCTCAGGAAATGACTGAAAAATAGTCATGGGAACGTCCCCCAACAATTTAAGTATACGACATTTAAATGCTATGCAGTTGCCAAGTGCGGCAAGCTTTGATGCTCGTCTCTCATAAATTCCGGTACTCATGTTCACCCATGGTCTTCTAAATTGTTGGTCAAGGCCTACCTTTACAGACACTACTAGAGATGAAATGTCCCGCATGCGTCGTACAGTGGACGATTTCAATATAAAATACCGCAAAAAGAACCCTACTCTACACTGCAAGAAGGCACTGTTCACTCCGACAGATATTTAGATATGCAATGCAAGGTTAGTGTCAACTCCGAGCGCTTGTCTAGTTATTTAACTATACACAGAGCTTTCACTGTCATAAGTACGCGAGCTTTATTAAGATCTTGAAAGATCTTGGTTCTTACTGGCAGGCCATCAGTCTCATTAACAACCTCAGTAGAAACGAGGGCAGATAAATTTGCCTGGCAGAACATAACAGTTATTTTCGAACTTGGGATAAGCGCCGTTCTAACGACCATCCAAACTAGGGGATATAAGTACTGACCACGTAATTTTTGTAAATAGAAACGAGCCACTTTCACAATACCTCAACTGATTTCCATTCAAAATTGCAATGAAGTTTAAGTGGGTTATTACGAGTATATCCCGCATAATTTTGAAATTTGTTTGAACTTGGAGTTCATTAGAAACATTTTTGCCAAAGTAAACCTCCAACGTGCCACTGGGGGCGCAATAAATAAAGTTTGATTGCATTCGGATTAGAAATGTGCAAATTCGCTTACATTTGCAAATATTTCATGAACCGCAATTTTAATTTCGTTTGGTGTAAGTTATGTCTACTAAAAATGATAGCTAGTTTAGCTGTTGTTCTTTATGGACACTGATATACTACCCTTATTGTACATACATACATACATACATATATACATTCATATGTATGTATATTTATCAAAAATGTTTTTAACTTTAAAGGGCTGTACGCAGTTCTCCAGAACACAAGAGAAGTACTCTGCTTTTGCTGTAAATTTTCTTGAAAAAAAAAAATGTATATGTACGAGCATTTTTTTCTTGAGAGCTTCGAACTGACTTTCTTTTGAATTTCTCATTTTTCTTGAGAGCTCCAAACTGCCCTTTAGATACGTACGAGCATTTTTTCTTAAAAGCTGCGAACTGATTTAAGCGTCAAGTATACACAGTGGAGTTCTCTTAAACAAGTAAGTATGTACATTAGGGTGGTCCTAAAATGCATGTGAGAAAAGTAATGTCGGAGTTTCAATTCGCTTACCCCTATAACTGTGCTATATCGAAAAGAAATAGATCTCTGATTTTTTTTCTTTTAAATCAGAAAGTATTTAGATCTCTCTCACAGCGCTCATAGCTTCCCGTGTAATTTTCATGCGGAAAACTATTTATCTTACAAATGGTATAGAACGCTTAAAAATCGATATTTTTCTATCGCCAAGTTATGGTTCTCTTTAGGAGCTTCGCAGAGTAATACACAGTTTTTTATTTAACCAGTTTTTATATTAACGATATTCTATGGGGGGCCAATTACATTTTTGTGGGTTATTCGAGACCCATAAAAATACTTGATATAAAGAAATGATTAAAAAGGTAATTGGGTATTATTCCGTAAAGTCTCCTGGTCAGAAAGAGAGTTTGCCAATTAAAAAATATAGATTTGCACATCAAAAAAACATCGAAAACTTTCAGGGTTTTGAACGACCTGTACATTTTTTTTGTTATTTAAAAACACAAGGGCATATTTTTTCGATATTTCGATTTTTGGACCATCCTAATGTAAATAGATGCAACTGCGGAGCAATTGTGTGCCTTATCTAGAATCGCGTGGGAATTTTAGCAAAAAATTTAACATTTAGTAAGTTTGTATTATAAAATTATTTTCATGCCGCGCCACACAGTGGGACGTCCTCATATATGTATGTAAGTAACTGTACTACAAATTGTCTGAAACTTCGTGCATGCGCTATTCTGCACTTAGGAATGAAGAAATATGGGAAAATGGTAGAAGTCGCCGCGCTGCCACGCCCACAGCTCTTGTGGGCGGAAATTTTAAATGTTATCCGATTTTGATGAAATTCAGAGTATATGCTGGTTTTAACCAGAAAAGCATAAATCTGAAAGAACGTAAAAATCGGCTTACATTAGCGTTCAAAAATTCTATAAAAATAGGCGCAAATTATAATTTTTTTTTATAAAAAAGCAGAATATAAGCTGAACTCGGAGTTCCTCGCAGCTGGAACTATTTCAAATTTCGCACGCATATTTAGTGTTGACATGTCCTAAGTATAATTTAGCTCACTTCCTAGGTACTTTTTAAATATCCATTTTTAAACTGCGCACTCGAAAAATTTTATACCAACAAAATTATGTAGAATTTCAAGTGAAACTGTCTTATAGATTTCACTAGATACACTTAGGGACGTTCCATGTCAACCGGAACAGTGCTATATCCAAAAATTGGCGCAATACAAAAATCGCTGAAAGGCTGAAAATATTTGTACACTTTTGCTCTTTTAAAAGTATGATGGCGATTTTGGAATTTCAATATGGTGGCGTCAGTAGAAGTGATGCAATAGGCTGCTCAACTCAAATCTGGTGGCAGATTTTCCAAATTATTAATCGCGGATCCACATTGGATCTACCATTTATAACGAAATAGTTAAAAGCGAACGAATGTACATAGCGTATGAGTTACTCAGATGAGATAAGAATGTTACTCATACGCCATGTACGTACGTACTTTTTATATGAAATCGAAAAGAAAATTTTGATAAAAGTACCATGGTATTTCTTGCATTTTTCCAAGTTCTGTATGCAATTAAAAAAAAAGTGCTTCGTGTGGTTTTTGCTGTTGTATGAACTATCTAATATATAAAAATCTCGTGTCACGGTGTTAGTGGTCGAACTCCTCCGAAACGGCTGGACCGATCTTTATGAAATTTTTTGTGTATATTTGGTAGGTATGAGAATCGGATGTAAAGTATATTTCATACCGCTAGGTGCAGGGGGCGTGGCACCTCCCATACAAACCGAATATTTCATACTGCATATCTCTGGAAGTATTCAAGGTAGAGTACTCTAACTTGGTACAGAGATATATCAAACCAATCGCATACTCATGGAGAACAGTTATGGTTATTGGAAAAGGGGCGTGGCACCTCCCATAGAAACCGAATTTTTCATACTGCATATCTCTGGAAGTGTTCATGGTAGAGTACTCTAACTTGGTATGGAGATATATCAAACCAATCGCATACCCATGGAGAAAAATTGTAGTTATTGGAATAGGGGGCGTGGCACCTCCCATAGAAACCGAATTTTTCATACCGCATATCTCTGGAAGTGTTCATGGTAGAGTACTCGAACATGGTATGGAGATATATGAAATCAATCGCATACTCATGGAGAAAAATTCGGACTATTTGAAATGGGGGCGTGGCACTTCCCATACAAACAGAATTTTTCATAATAAGTACCTCTAGAAATGTTCATGGTAGAGTACAGAATTTTTCATAATAAGTACCTCTAGAAATGTTCATGGTAGAGTACTGGAACTTTATATGGGCATGGCACCTCCCATACAAGTCGAATTTTTCTTATTGCATATCTCTATAATTGTTCTTGGTAGAGTACTGGAACTTGGTGTGGTGATATATGAAATTAATCGCATAGTCATGTAGAAAATATGGAGCTATTGGAAAAGGGGTCGTGGCACCTACCATACAAGCCGAATTTCATACTGCATATCTCTGGAAGTTTTCGTGGTACAGTACTGGAACACTTCGTGTGGAGATATATGAAATTAATCACATGCTCATTGAGAAAAAACGGCTCTTTAAAAAGGGGGCGTGGAAAAGTAATCCGCCAGTTGGCGCTGGAGTTGAGTTAGTACTAAAAATTGTTTTATGATCCGATTTGGCGAACATTCAAAACATGTATTAGAAACGGTGCTGAGGTCGAGTTACTACTAAAAATCTAAAAAGTGAAAAAAAGGTGCCGTGAATGTCAGACTAAATCGACCCGTTGCACTATTGTGTATATTGAACTCTCGTGTGTTACGATTGACCCAATGGATGTGATTTGCCAATATTATTATGCGTTAGAGCCTCATTCGAAGAAACCAGTGTTGAGTTGTGCAGTGGTAAATCTCAAATCACCACCTGTCGAAATACCTTAAAAGCCAGTTTCATGAAAGCAATTTAATGAAAATTTATTTATTTAGTTGAATTTAATATAGAACCTGACAGAAAAACATAATTCTTCACTTAAATTACTTTCGCGAAACTGGCTTTTAAGGTATTTCGTCCCAGTTTATGTATGTATATTATATTTCTGTTGAACAAGGATACGCATTGATATTGAAATTGCCACTAACTATAAGATAAGGTTCCTAGGGCACATTCACTATAGATCCGGCTCATTGTGCCCACCAGGGATCTTCTCATGGACATAACACTTTCGTTCGGTTATTTAAGGCGGCAAACGACCACCAAACGATAGTCTTAGCCGACGAATGTGCATTACAAATCGTAAAGGTGGATTGTTGGAGAAACTGTTGTACCAAAATGTTTAAATTAAAAATCTAATTTTGGGCGGGACGAAGTTCGCCGGGTCTGCTAGTATTTTTATAAAAACATAAGAAAATTTTTGTATGGAAAAAAGAAATAAATAAAATCGTCATAACGTGCATATTTTTGACGCCGTTCGAATAGAATCGCAAGTCTTTGGTCACAGGACCAAACTCCAGCATTTTTTTCATATACCGTTATATATTAAGATATGTGTAAGTGGTACATGCGACCAAAATAAATAACTTCTCGCACTGAGTTCTTCCAACTTTCTTAGTAGCATTAATGGTATCATTTTGTTCATTTTATAAAAAAATAACAATTTTTGATACAACTTTAAAAGACTACTTTATTCGGAAGGATTTTACTAAAAATTAAATAAAAATTATCTCTAGTTTTGAGATATTTCTTAGCCAAGAGTCTATTTTCACTGAACCAGGAGAAATTTAAAAGCATGCCATAGAAAGCGTACTCAAAATTTAAAGTTTTTTTAATGCAAGGATAAAAAGGAAATATCATATATGAATATAAAGAACCGAATGGAAGGTTTATTTAATTTTTACGCTTGGTTTAATGTAGGTTTAATCAAAATTTTGGATTTTTTGGTGGGAATTATAGGCGTAATTCAAAGGCATACCTTTCGTGAGGAACAAATTTACAAATTAAAATTAGTATCCAAATCGGATAAATTTTAATATTTCCGCCCATAAGTGGCAATACAAAAATCCTTTTTACATTTCGGCCTTCCGAAGGAAGCACTAGGTAAGACTGGTACTATCCGCACAAGTATTCTAATTTCCGAATATCCGTTCGAATATCCGTATAAGCGGATAAAATCTGTACATCACAGATATCCGGTTATTATTCATTCGTTCATCTTATTATCTAGATATCCGGTTAATACCCTTTCGTTTGGTTATCCGGATATCCTAAAAATTATTAAAATGGATGTGTAAAATAATTCTCGAATTGACCGGATCCATCGAGTTGCAAAATAAATAAACTTAACATTTCACTAATACAAGATTACTTGTTATTTTAATGATTTATTTTAAATTTTTATATTTGAATATCCAGATGTCCGGATTTTACGATATGCGAATGTTAACCCATTATTCAGCTATCCGCACCTTCGCACTTTTTAATTAGGTGTTCGAATATACGAATATCCGAATTATCCGGCTAGTCAAAAAATACGGACAGAACTGCAAGTACCAATTTTGGCCGCAGCCAAACGGCGACTGCAAGTGATCGTGCAAGTCGATGGATATATATATGTACAAAGAAGAATTTAATTTCTTATGTTGTTAAATTCATTAAACTTTTAAGACTTAAAATAAATTTACTTTTAGGATTTTCTTCAAATCAATAAGAGCCTTAAAAGGAATGGAAGTGCATCCTAATTTCTCGAAAATGTTTCCCCTTTTCTTTTATTTTTTAAATATTTTGCGGATATAAATTTGTCCGATTATTCCTTGATGCCACTGTGTTTTTAATTGAAGGTTATTTTGTTTCCCCGTATCATGGTTGTGATAAAAATGTTTTCAGAATTTGACTGCTAATCTATTTTGGTAAAGTACTTGTTATATCTCAACAGCGATTACACAGCCTGACGAAACTTTATCAACCACAAAATTGCTTATTTTATTGGAGTAAAAAAAATCTCTTTTTAAGATTATTTATTCGGCTCTAGTTTCTTAAGAATATTTTGGCGATTTTTTTTTTTAAATTCCAACAATGGAAATACCACCCCGATAATGCTGATTACACACAATTTTTCTGAGCTTCGTTATTGGCGCAAATGCTAAGCTATTAAAAGCCAAGAATGTTTTGAAAAGAATTTACAATTATTATTAATGCTTTTTAATTTATTCAAAAGTTTCACAATAGTCCTTTTACGAACTCACACACTCAAAAAAAAGCAAAAAAGCGAAAGAAGTCATTACTATTTTTTTTTTAAATATTTACACTGCCGAAGTTACATCACTTCAACTCACGTCTGATGTGTCCACCCCTTTCGTGATGGTGTCGATCGCGGCCCTCCAACTGGCCACCGCGGCCATTTGTTGCCTCCACGAGACCCGTGCTCCACCCGCCACCCTGACGGCCACTTTCGCGACAAAGCAACAGTGAACTAATGACCAAGAAATACATCACAAAACGCGCCATTGAACGACAACTCACAGAATAAGAGGGCAGTTTAATTATTACTATTTGTTTTAATTTGATTCAATATTTTGTGATTTCACTCTCAAATCCTATTTGCGCTGCACTAAAATTTTTGTTGCTGGTAGTCGGTGTCTTTTCAATTGTTCTCGATTTTTTTATTTTTTTTTTGCTACTTCGAGACTGCAAGCTTTAAGTATTTAATTGTGTTGAGGTGGTTTCCTTCGAATCGTAACATTTACCGACACTGTTCGACATTTGCGCACAGCGAGAGCCACCCCTGAACTGAGCATATTTTTTCCATCAACAACGGTATTGTGCGCTAAAGCCTAGTGGCCGTCTGCATCTAATGTGACTGGTGCACTTTTTTTTTAAGTGGAACCCGCGAATCGCTGATAGCTGAACCGCGACTAACAAATGCCATTCAGCAGCTAATCGTCGTCATCAACGGGAATGTAAGAGTATTATAGTATGCATGCGTGCATACCTGCGGAAATTTGACAGAACAACTTAGGTCTGTCTCTCACGGACAAACCAAATAGCATATGTCGACAAAACATATTTCAGCGTCAAGGAGAAAAATGTTATAATACGAACGAAATATTAAATTATTTTATCCCTATACACAACCTAGTTTCTGCTTTCAGCAACTGAATGTTTTCCTTTAAATAAAATTTATTGGTATTTAGTTTTTCCGTGAAAGATAGACTTAAGCAGTTCTGTCAAATGTCAAAGATATCTACGTATGTACGTACACTACGTAATTTTTGCAGCGGCAAAAATTCTCTTCGTAATTGAGGGTGAACAACCAATAAAAGCCACAGATACAGCTTAAAAAGCTGCACAAAGCCCACAATTTTGATATTTTTTAAAAATAAACGCAACCAATAAAAAATAATAACACATAAATAGTAATATGTATATTTATTTTTTTTTTGCAACACATTTATAAATATATGTATGTACGTATGTATGTTCGCTCATAAAATTTATTTAATTTTTTTTGCGTCTTGTTAACAGTTATTTAGTTCCTTTCATCACTCTAACCACTCTTACTTTCGCGACGTGCGCGTTCAACACCCACAGCTCTACAGCTGGATTGCTACTGTCATCGCATTACTTTAGTAATTGCAAAGCAAAATATGCTTTTAGTGAATGAAATTGCACACATACATACACACGTTCATCGTATGTACGTACTAGGAATGTTCCCGGGATGCCGGCCTTTTTTAGGTACCGAAAATCACGGGATTCTTGGCAAATAATACCGGGATTTTTGGGATTTATAATCTGCACTGATGGTATTAATAGAAACTCCTTTTCTTGACCAGTATTGGCAATATTTCTTTTATTTAAGAATATTATTTTTTATTTAAGAATTAATATTTTTTTTATGAATCTAGCTCGTTATACATATAAAACCGTGCGATAGTCAATTTTACACACAAAAAATCAATATATTCGCGAAGCCATGGGCTAAATATTGTAAAATTGCGTTTTTAGCTTTTCACCCTAAGTAATTCAAAAATGATTTAAAAAATACAGTGAAATGTGCTTAGAGAAATAAGTATGGGTGTCAAATTAAAATTAAAATTCCATAGAACTTAAACAGATTCAACTTTTTTGGTGCATAAGGACTGGTATGTATTCAAAATGTCTATTTAATTTTATTCTTTTATTCTTGAAATTTTGCAATATTTGTTTTTGAAAACATTATATATTAAGGACTTAAATAAACTCGAGATAACATCCTAGAATTTCGTCCTTCTAACTTCATAAAATTTAAAAATTACCTATTCGTCCTTGTGAAATTCTAATTATTCTGAATTCTAAAGAAGTTTCCTTTTTCATTTGGCACTTATATTTTTATTCTACATTGCATTGATTTTTTTAAATAATTTTTCTAAAGTCATTTAAAATAAATCTTGACATCAGAGAGAAAAAAAGCCACTTTAAGAAAAGTACGTTTCTAACCCATTTTTTTATTATTTATTTTATGGTAGGAGAGATAGAAGCAATGTTTTCGATTTAGGTTGTTGAAAAGTAATGAATATCTAAATCGCGGGATCCCGCGACTTCCCGAAAAAAAAAACCGGGATCTTAAAAAGCGAAAAAGTGAACATCCCTAGTACGTACATATGCACTTACAGCAATCAGATCAAGTGTAGAGTACACATAAATTTCCACGAAATGAACGTGTGATCTTGTTATCCATGGCAGGTAGGCGGCATCATTCTGCCGCAATGATTCACTCCCATCTACACAAATGGAGCAGAGTGCATGTGTGTGCGTGTGGCTTGGCTTTGGGGGTGCACCCCTTTGTGTGAAGTGTTTCGAGTGCAAACACACAAAATAATTGAAATGACATTGATATACTAGTGGGTTGTCGTCATCCATTTTCATGCGTTAAGAGCAAAACAAAATGCTGCTTTTAATGAGTTTGTGGGTTCACGCACACTTAAATTTAGGAGAACATACATATACACACAGAAGTTTGTATACGCGTACCTACCTGCATGGGCACTAGTATGTATTACTTGTACAAATGTAAACAAACAAGAAACATTAATTGTAGATTAATTTAAGTAAAGGTGTGAATTTGTGGCCATTAGAATAAATATAAACTCAGGATAAGCACAAAGTAAAGCAATTTGGCAAGTTGAAGTTACAAGTACATAACGGCACAATCCGAAATTCAAAAAATAAATACCCTTACCCCTACTGTTAAGTGTCTAAGGTCTCTAATCCTGGTCTAATCCGGGTCCAATCTTTATCTACTAAAGTAAGCAGTAAGGATTACTAAAGGAATTAATGCAGATTAAACATGAATCAGGCCAAGATTAGAGACTTAGGGCCTTATCCTGTATCACGAACGATAGGCAAAACGAACGATTCGTCTGCAGACGACAGCCTCTCTGATTGCGATTTTAAACTCTATCGGTCGTCTTCGTCTTGCTTTTCATACATTACGTTGCAATGGTCTCGGTTGTATTTAAACCGACTAAAATGATGCCCCCGGACTAATTTTTTAATCATTCCTCTGCAGACGAATCGTTCGTGTTGCCTATCGTTCGTGATACAGAATAAGGCTGTTAAGGCACTTAGTAGTAGTAAGGCTTTTTATTTTTTATTTTAATTGTGCCATTGTTGCAGAGGACCATCGATATGTATCTTGCTGAATTTTCCCACGTTGAAGCCTTAGTGGCAATACCATCCAGAATAAAAATGGATCACTGTATTGACATTTTTAGATTAGGATATTCAAAAAAAAAAACCGATTTGACAGAGCAATTCTGAAATTTGTGGAGTGGTGTACTTTTTCAAAAACAACTAAGGACGACTAAATTTGCTGAAAGTAACCATAGTGGTGGTATGTATTTTTGAATATTAAATGAAATTCAAAAAAAAAATCTTAAAACAATAAAATGTAAATATTGTGTTCAAAAAAAATTATCACACATAAAGTATATAAAAATCAAATAAATTAAGAAAAAGCAATATTATTATACTTAAAACAAAATCTCAAAATAAAAAAATAAATTAATATCCTAAAACTTAAATGAAATAAAATATTCACGTTTCTTTTTAAATCAATAAAATCTACAAATTAAAATAACATGAAATTAGCAAAAGAAAGACAAAGTAAATAACAAATAAATTAAGATCCTAAAAATCTAATTAAAGTAGATATTCTTGTTTCTTTTTAAATCAATAAAATTTGCAAATTAAAATAACAAGAAATTAGTAAAAGAATAATAAATTAAATGAAAGAAAGAATAAATAAAATATGTTTCTAAAAATTACACAAATAAAAATTTGAAATAAATATTAATAAAACATTAAATAAATTCCTAAAAAATAATTAAAATAAAATTAATGTTTCTTTTTTAAATCAATAACATCTAAACATTAAAAGAAAATGAAGTAAAAAACCAAAAATAAATAAAATAAGTTTCTAAAAATTTTATTTAAATATTTTAAATTATTTATTTTATTTAAAAACTTTCAAGTCTCCTAGTAAACCGTACGCGTTAATGCCCAAAAAACATTCGCACAAAAAATGGGAGCACAAAGCCTTGATTTTGAATATGTATTTTGTATTTTTTTTTCTTACGATTTTAATGAAAGTTTTTATCCAGATAAAGTTTTGCAGTTTATTAGCTTCAAGAATGTCTGTATAAGGTTGCCGCCTCTTCGACATAATTTATAAATTAACTAAAACACTGCATTATTTTAAAAATCACCAATTGAGAGATATTTTTGGGTAGGTTTGCCACCTATTTTCCATGGTTTATTTATTTAATTTATTATTTAGAAAATTAAGATGCAATATTACCTTATATCGGTACTAAAAGGAAACGCTTAAACAATGCTTGCCCTATTTTGGAGGTGTTATCATTTTGGATATTAGTGTAAGGTTGCCACTTATTTTCAATTCTATGAAAGGAAAGGTATTTGTGATGAAATTTATCCAAAAATATTTTCGCTGGAGGTTGCCACATTTTCTTTTTAATACCAATTTGTATCTTACTGATTTCTACGAGCATTTTTTGACCATATGTAAATAATTATGCATGTATATGCATGTATGTGTAGGTACACTTAAATTCCCCGGGCGTATTTATTAATAAGGTTGCCAGCTAATTTTTTAATGGAAGATAATTTGATTATTAGATTGTAAAAATTTAAGTAGTTTAAATTTATTTCCAAAATATATATTCTTTTTATAGAATTCTAAGTGACGGAGTAGGCTTGTTCTTTTTGTTATTTTTCATTTGGTTTCACTGAATACTGAGGCTAAAAATTTTTTTATCAACATAATTTGTATGGAAAGAGGTATGGATAAGCGTAAGTGAAATAATAAATTCCAACAACAATATTACATGAAAAAAAAATTTACTTAAAGTTGTTCAATAGACCATTATTTTATACCCAAATCTTGAAAACTTTAAAATTTATGCACTACGAGCTTTGCCGTATTAGCTTGTTATGGCTACATAAAAAACGCCTAATATAATCCTGTGGAGGTACATAAGTCAATTCGGTATTATTTTTATGTTTACATGCGTTTTTAAAATGAATAAATTTTGACTACTTGCAGATACTTTTCACTGACTTTTCTCCTTGTAGTGAAATGTTGAGAAGATTATTTAGGTTGCATTTTCTGACACTGGCTCGTGCATAAAATTACCCTAAGCAACTATTCTGCAGTGCAAAGAGAGCCAAGAATGCAGCTGTTGGTAGCAATTCAAATATGTAGCTCGCTTAGCATGGCACGTTGATGTACAAGAACAATGCAAATAAGTTTGCTGCATAGTTATTTTATACGTGCGAATTCTAGCTTACCACTTGGCTGGCACTATAAGTGCCGTAGGTACATAAATAGTTAGTAAAAAATACATTTTTATTT